TGGGACAAAACGGCTGTAATATCCGCACAATCCGAGGAAGCTCTTCATGCCCTCTTCCGTCTTCGGTGGAGCCCAGTCGAGTATCTTCTGGATGTTATGTGGGTCCGGTAGGAGTCCCTCCTTTGCGACCCGGTGACCGAGGAACGTAACTTCGCGCTTTGCGAGGCGGCACTTTTCTGGTTTGAGCTTCAGCTTCGCCGACCTCACTCGCTTGAAGACATCACGGAGCGTTGCGATGTGCTCGTCCTCGGATCTGCTTGATATGATGATGTCATCAAGGTAGACTAAACAGCGTTTCGAGTCCAGACCTGCAAGCACCAGTTCCATGAGTCGTTGGAATGTGGCTCCAGCATTTTTGAGACCCATGGCCATTGCCCTGAACTGATGGAGTCCTTTGCCCGTGGAGAACGCCGTCTTTTCTCGGTCCTCTGTGGCCAGCGGGACCTGCCAGTAACCGGTCGCCATGTCGAGCGTCGTGTACCACGTCGCCCCCGCTAGGGTATCCAACGCCTCGTCGATCCTCGGCAGAGGATGCGCACATCCGCGAGTTCGGCTGTTGATCGCGCGGAGATCGACGCAGAAGCGGAAACTTCCATCTTTCTTTCTGGCCAGGACGACTGGGGAGCACCAAGGACTTGTACTCTCTTCAATTATTCCATCTTTCATCATCTGCGTCTTCTGCATCTCGACTTGCTCGCGGATTTTAACTGGTACCCGCCGTGGTCTCTGCTTCACGGGAGCCTCCTCCCCTGTGTCGATGTGGTGTTCGAGCAAATCTGTCTTGCCGATATCACCCGCATACTGACTGAAGATGTCTGCATATTCGCTGAGAATGGTTCTGAGCTTCTCCTTTCCTTCCGCTGAGAAGTCAGATCCGTCCACATCAAGTACTTCTGTCACCGTCGTATTCTGACGCCTTTCTGTTCTGCAGCTCACATCATCAACGTCATCATCATCACTGTCCTCAACGCCTCCGTCTGCAGCTAGACACAACTTGTACTCGCAGTCCTTCTCGTTTGTGGCATCATAAAATGTCCCTAGGTCACTGCCTCTGAGAACACGGACTTCTTCAGACCCAACATTTGTCAAAATGATCGAGACGCACCCGTCGTCGTCTGCAACGACCAGAGCCCTTGGAGTCAGGAGTCCCTCCCGCTCCGCTACGGTTGATGGCTCGAATATCCCGGCTGCACCCATTTCATCACTCTGCACGCCGTCCACTCTCTCCAGCTTACCGGCTACCACGCTCTCTGACCGTGCTGGAATGACGACGTTCGACAGTAATCGCACTCGCGCACGTCTTGGTCGAACCTGCTCCCGGCTCGGCAGGGGAACGCTCATGGTTCCAATCTTGAATGAGCCAGCGTCGTCGTCAATGACCGTGCGATGCATGCACGTGAAGTCGCGACCTAGTATCACGTCGTACACGAGGTCGTCTGCCACCGTCACTACCGGGCATCGGAAGCTGACTCCATCAATGCATAATGAGAGGTTTTCCAACTCACCAACTACCTGGAGGGAGGTACCTCCAGCTCCGATAGCATTGCGCGCGCTCGGGCTGAGCCGGATTGCTCTGAGTGCTGGGTTCCCCTCATAAAATCCTCTTCGCATCATGGTGAAGTCGGCACCAGTGTCCACCAGCGCCCATGTCGGAGCGCCGTGAATGACGACCCGAACGGCCGACGCCGTGAGTGGGGACGCTTTCGAGAGGACTGGAACCGGTCCCACGGCTCCAGTCCGGTTCAGTTTTCCTGATGCGCACCGGCGCCCAGCCGGGGATCAGCAGCTCTTGTCTCGGAGTGGCCTCCGCCAGTGCTGCCACCCTGGAAGTATTGGCACCCCACCATCCAGTGGCCCTGCTGCCCACAACATAAGCAGAGCGGCAGCGCGCGCCCATCCCTTGTCGACGCCAATGAAATGGGGCAGTGTCGCTTGAGGTGACCCAATTCTCCACAGCCGAAGCATCTGACGCTAGGTGAACCACGGCTACGCTCGGGGCAGTCTCGCTGAAAATGACCCGGCTGCTCGCAGCGGTAGCACCGGGGAAGTCGGCGAGACTTACTCGCATCAGTTGTCGTCTTCGGCGCCATTGTGATGGCCGATATCGACTCGTGTAGCCCGCGAATATGATCTTCGATGGCTGTGAGCCGGTTGTTGTCCGTCACAGTCTTTTCTGCTTGACCCGCGGTTGCTTCACCCCCGACCGGGCGGACCGCCCCGATGACGTCGATCTCATGATTTCGCACTGCCTTGATCGTCTTCCTCGTCTCCTCGAATTCTTTACTAACGCGTACCGCGTCAGTCAGTGTGGATACGTTTTGGCTGATTAACCTCTCTTGCAATTGCGTGTCACGGAGGCCACAGATGAATCGGCCGCACTGGAATCCCTCCATAGCGCTGTGGTCGCTGGGCAGAGCCGGCTGGGCTAGCCCACTCAGCTCTCTGATCCTGGCTGAGAAGTCTTCAACAGACTCCGAAGGTGATTGGCAAACTCGGTTGAGTTCGGCATGAGCCTGCAACGTGCTTATTTGCCGACCGAATCGACTTTTCAGTGCTTCAACCACCCTGCCGTAGTCCTTCCGTGACTCTTCGGTGAGTGACGCGAATGTGTCCAGTGCGACTCCGTCCAAAAGACCCACCATAGCCGCCAGCCGGTCCCCGGCTTTCATGCTCGCCGTCTGAGCTTCGAATCGGCAGAACCATTTCTGCCACACTTCCCCCGACTCTCCACTAAATTTCGAAGCTCTTGAAAGGAAAATGGTAGATAAATCCATAGTTTGTTATACTGAACTCTACTGGAGAGAACCTCTCACCACCCAAAGTCTCTACTCACCGGCTCCGTCCGCCTTTTCCACCGTGAGCTTGCGTAGGCCGTCACAGAACTCTCACAGCAATCTTCTTTCCTAAAAACTCATATGCAGCCCATATACGTTATTGGTCCTACCGACCGCGCCAAAATATGTTAGGGCCAAGTAAAGCTGCATATACCACGACACTGTGTATTGTGCTTCCAGCGACCGAAGACCAAGCACGGACACGGCGACCCGCCGACTCCCAGCCCGGTCACGGTCGCGCCCTTATATAACCACGGCACAGAGCGCATGCGCGGTGACCGCGCGGCGGTCAGGCGGCTCGCCCGTCGCCGGCCGGCCGGCCGAGTCGCCGGCCCGGCCCGCGCCTCGGCCCCGCACGACCAGTCCGCGGTCACAATATCCCAACATTACCCCACCTTCCCCTAATTTGGGGCGTGGAACACGATGGTGACATTCATTTTACCATATGTGTACGTGTTTGGCTAAAAAAGTTCAATTTAAGAAATGCATGTATCATGGTCGTGAAGTAGTCACGAGAAATTGCCAAGATTCAGTTCAAGATTTTGGAAAATGCGGAACAATAATCAACAATCGAAGATAGCCATTTGATTGTTCATGGTATTGGCAGTCCAGTGGGGTTTACGGCATGTCTGTATGTCTATTCTGTGATTTTATATGATTTTTTGAACATATGCCGTTTTTGGTCGAAAACTCAGAAATCATGACGTTTATAAAACCTCGATATCTCAAAAATTTTCCGACCGATTTTTTTGAAACTTTGTCACAATAAACTTCATTCAATTCCCTACAGGTACCCAAAATTTGGCGCGCCTGCGGCGCGCCGTTTTTATGCTATGGCCCGGCGACAAAAGTGGGGGCGTTTAACGCCCCCCAGCAACTCGCGGGCTAATAAGCCGCAACACGGAACCACAACTTCCAGCGCATGCACTAACAAGGCCGTAACGAAGCTGCGTGATGTTATGTATAAGCAGTCGAGCGGGTGCCTATCATAAACTTTTTGATGACTGATCTTCGCTTAGCCAATCAATGGCTTTTTAAATTAGATTGTATTGGCAGTCCTATTGCAAATAATTTTATATGGATCCCAGCGATTACAAATTCGAATTGCCCTCACATATCTCTCATTGGTATAGCTTATCAGAGCACAATGGATTGCCGCGCATTGACCTACATACATCCTCAACTGTGGGAGGAAGTGTGGGGTTCGCTCCGGTTTTTATAGACCCCCCTGTGTAACACCCAGCTCACGACCGAGGCTGGCTGAGCTGGCGGAGCTTTTTCCCACTCCGGCATGCGCCCCGTGCAGCGCCGAACGGCTACTAACCCCGCTGTCTAATGGCATCTTCCCACTAATCCAGTTAGTGGCCATTTACTCCGGTCGTGTATCGGACTAGCAGAAGCTCGGAGGCCCGTCCCCAGACGCCCCGCGGGCCACCGGGACGCCGCACTGACTGCAGCTTGTTTTTCGTCGCGCTAACTTGGACACAGGCCTGCCGCCGAACGCATGCTGATGGAGTGAGAAGAAGGTATACATGTTTATCCTGTGGCTGTTAAGTAGAGCCAGATGATGCTGTCAGTCACGTGCCAAGTAAAGGTTCAGAAGTTGCTGTAGAAACTTTGGTAGCCAAAAATGCAAAGTTCAGCAAATTACTACCTTAGAGCTTAATTTGACGCTTCTTAGTTTTTCCAATGATGTATGCTGGGTGGCTTCAAATCAGTGGTTTGCAAAACCCAGATGGTTGACAGTGTTGCTTAGGAGTTAGTTTGAAGATTGTGCAAAATCTAGCTTCTGTAGGTACCTTTTCTACTTCTGTGCCTTTTTATCTACATCGTTAGCGTGTTCCGTTGTTTAGCTATACGAACACACCATACAAGTCCCATACACGTCTTACCCGTGCGACATACATCCATACACGAGTCGTGCTGCCATGTGCTATTGACGATCCCACGAATTCGTGTGTTCAGTTCAGTGCGCGGTCTTATCGCCATTTTACACTGGAACGCACATGTCATTGCAAATCGGCGTGAGATCAACCAAGTCGTACTTCCAAGAAAGGCAGATGAACCCATTTGTCCATTTTTCGGATTGTAGACGGTAAGTCTGTAGATTTGTAAATTGTGAATAAACTAACTGCAAAATATGTTCCCTGGACTCGACATGAATACAGGACGAGTGAATGTGTATTTGAATGCATTGCGCATTTGTGTGAGTTCATTCACTGAAAGCACTTCTACCACACAGGGCTGTGCTGGGTGATTTGGGGCGCTGCAGCCGATCCGACACGGTCTGATCACAGTCGCGCCGAGACAACAGAGCAGCTGGAACGACCGACCCACGTCCTCTACTCTCGCTACGTGATGATGAGGAACGGACATCCATCTCCTCGCGCACCAAGGACCGCTAGACATTGCACTGCCCACACACAACTGATGCGCTGGTGATACGCGGGTGACGTTTCTGAAACACGGCTAACACAACTCTGGGGTGAGTGAAGGCAGGCGTGTGACACATATTCTGACATAGGAGACACTGCCATTTTGTCACTTCTAACATTGAGGAAGTCATCTCTAGGCAATGACACAATCATGTCACTCTGCCTCGCTAGGCATTCCTAACACAGGACGCATGTGACCAGCTATTAGACAGCCCATCGGTGCACAGCGCGCTTATATGAACAGCGTGAGTGACATTCAACATTCAGACAATATCTGTCAACATTGTCATTTTGAGAGCAGGATTGTGCAATGTGCAACGTACACTATGCACGCCATAACTAACATTTCATGATATTCTTAAACGACGACAATGTACATATTCCTAATGTAAGTACAGCATGCTAAATGTATAGCATTCTTTATAGCAGTTGTTGTCGCTTGTGACTACAACAAAACATTTGTGATATTTTACGGTACAGTGTCGCTGTCAACTGTCGTCCCATTTCGCACAACAACTTAGCGCGTCGTCTTTTTGAGGTAACATTCACTCGCTCCATGCTCTACGGCAGACTACTCAACGGCGCATCTCACTTAACTCCTTCCACCACAACGCTTCCACATTCAACAGTTCACATACACACATGAGGCAGTGAGAAGCAGTGTCTCCAACACAGACCACTGTCCGTCCTCCCCTCTATCGCGGCTCTCTATGGACTGTGTCCGGACCGGCTCTGGACTGGGTCCTCGAGGGGTTCAGTCTCGTCGCCCGCCATCCGATGATGACGCTCAGATGACGCGATGACGCTCACTTTCACCGAACCATCACACGTTGCTCTCGTAGATGACGATTTGCAGGACGGGTGGCCGGGGCGTCAGCGCGTCCAGCTCTGCGTCGTCCCAGGCGAAGCCGTCCTTCATTTTGGTGTTGGCCATGGTTTTGCGGAGTTCTCGGATCTCTCGGAGAAGGTCGACGTCCATGGTGACGCCGTGCCCGTGCTCACCGAGCTTCTTCAGGTGGTCGGTCAGCGGACCCGACAAACTCTGCAAGGAGGGCAGCAAGTACAGCGGTTAGCGCTGTTGGTGGGAGGGAATCCTGATGCAGATATAGTGTCGACGGACAATTTTGAGGGGGTAGCACCCTGAAAATACAGGAGCGTGTGTGTTTTGGGGGGAGGGACCTGGAAAAGGAGATTCTCAAGCCAAATACGAGTACACCTTTATCTTCAGGAGGCACAGCTACTATAGCTGTGAGACAGTGAATAACAAGATGTTCAAATGTCTCAATCGTACATCGTCAAATTCTCGAAGCGATGCTGAGACTTATGACTAAAATATATTGTTATATAAAGTTGAAGTATTTCGGCAAAACAGATTGGTAGCCTATTTGATGATAATTACAAATATCTGTAGCTCAGGCCCTTTTAAAATCATAATGATTCCATTTAGCTGATTAAAAGCAGTAAATATCAGACCAACACCGCTACTTAACAGAGATTATGTTTGTAATCCGAAGTTTTGGATAACGTGCGACCCGCACAGGTAGCTACAACTCTCCATCATGATATGATGCCGCGGCCTAATTCTCGCAAACGACTTTGATAACTCTCGCAACAGCCCAATTCTCGACATGCAATCACGGTAAAATGTCTGCATCCGAGCAAAGGATGGACATCGGAGCTGAGCCGTGAACACGTTCGCCGAGTTTTCCTCACAAATCCCAGAAAAATGTCACGTTATAATACCAATCATTTCATATTTGAAAAATATAAACGGAAAACAACCCATTTTCTTCAGTCAAAAATGCAAAACAAAACAAAATCTGCCCGTACCCATGGCCTTGAATGTCTTGTTTGGGTTACGACCATGAGCAGTAGCATTCTGCTCCAAGTATCCATAGTACCACATCCGAAAATATGACCGCATACATCTGTCTAGTGAATGATCATGAGCTGAACATACAGTCTCACAAATAACTCGCTTATCTGGCCCTCCGTCAGGGAGGACGGGTCAGCTGCGAGTCGGCACGTGGCCTCTGTCGGAGTCTCACACGATATCACACCCGGTGTCCATCTGTCCCAGATAGTGTGACGGGACGCCCCTCAGCTGTCAGAGCTTAGGGATACTACTGTTTACCACATTAACTCGGCCGTCATAAGGCGGCTCAGTGGCCGAGTTAGTTATTATTTCAGGCCAGGCGACACGGTCAGAGGGGGGCAGTTTAGTTGTGGCACTTCTGTTCCCGTGTGTGATAGAGTGGCCAGCTGCACACCATAAGGTCCAATGAAAGTTATTGTAAGATTAGGTATATGTGGCCATATCAGAACTGTCAGAAAATTATGAATTCTACCGTGATAAGTAATTAATGTGCTTATCATTCAATGCCAACATGAATGAAAAATTAAGACAATTTATGACGACTGGTTTTGTACCAAGAACTGAAGCTATAGAAAAGAAGAGATTACTGTTTCAATTCATGGTAGGTAAGAGCACCCTTTCAAAAATGACACTACAGAGGGAAACCATGTGTTGCTTTCACAAGTCTGCCACAAGAATGCCAATCCTTGTGTTTCTGTCAAAACCTAAAAAAAAAAATCTACTAATAATTAATATGTTCAACATCACCGCAGTATTGTAACTATTTTATCGTCCATGTTTGCACCTTTTGACACATTCTTGAGTCTTAAGACATCACAGTGAATTGCTAGGCCAGTCTGCTGATACTATCACTTCTGTTCTATTATGAATTATCAAAGTCGACGATGGCATCAAAGCTCTATTCCTGGAATTTGAAGCAGAATGCAACGATAATGTTTGTCCGGAGCAAGCATACGATTGCTAACAATTTTCACTTCTGATATCCCCCCCCCGCACAAAGCCATTTCGCTAAATAAATAACTATCGTCGCAGTCGCCAGTCTATTCTGCAAAGTGACGACAACAGAAAGTCATTTGCAATTGGGCAGTCATTCATCATCTTCACCACTTAACGAATAACAGTTTAAAATATTTAACTTACATACCTTGGATGTAACTCGAGTGGGAAACACTCCGAGTTCATGGAAGCTTCTTAGCCCACAGATATGAATTACTGACCTGTAGCCGTGCCGTCAGCATTTTCATCTGCTGCCAGGACTGGGCGTATTGGCGGCGAACGATCTCGATGATGGTAGTGGTCAGCGCCAGCCCCACCAGAATGTACACGGTACACACCAGCATGTACTCGGCGTTAGCTGTCGGCACGTCACCCCAGGTCAGGTCATGGAGCTAGGTCACAGAGTCAGGTGACAGCGTCAGGTCATGGTGTCAGGTCAGCCTGTCAGGTCACTGTGTCAGGTGATGGCGCTAGGTCACGGTCAGGTCAATTTAGTGGAAAAATTAGGTCCTGTTTGAATACGTGAAATCAATCATAATGTTTTGCACATACTATACTGAAATACTCAGAGGAGGCAAAGCAGTCTTTTTTGTAAAGCTACGTCATACCACTTAGGTAAAGGTGCGAACTGCGTTGATGGGAGGAAATGCCGTCTGGGGAGTTACCCGCAGGAAGGTGGGATTGGAGCTCACTCTCAGTGAAGTGGAGCGGTCAAATTAGAGTCGACTGGTCAGGCAATTAGAGCTGTAGCGTGTTATACGAACGGGCTGGCGGAGCACCGCTTTCCCAGATATTGGATTTCTCCAGTCGGTCTTTGTCGACACAGTACATTTACTGTATGACCCCGCAATGTGACCAAATAAAGCCAGCAATGGTCATGAGACAGGTCAACTTTATCTAACGACACCAGTCGGGCTCTGTCATTTTGGCGAAAGTGTAACGGAGCGTTCGGGATCACTTCATTACGTTGGGGAATGTTGGCAATGACACCAGACGATCATGAATGGATTCTCGAACAGTAAGGAAACTTTGTTCAGTCTCACTATTAGTGACTTTTAATAAAGGAGGATGGGACAACTCTCCCAGGAAAGGCACAACACAGACATTTACAAAGTCATCCTCCATTCTTCCTGCAAAATTGAACCACGGTTGCAACTCAGAACGGGGCTTAGAACACACCAACCCCAACCGTCCACCTGTTCCTACCTGGCACAAAGTCGCCGAAGCCGATGGTTGTCATGGTGATGAAGCAGAAGTAGAACGACTCGAGGAAGCTCCAGCTCTCCCACAGCAGAAACAATCCGCCGCCGATGGCGATGTACAGCACTAGGAAGATTACGGACACCACCACCGTCAGCGCCCGCTCCATCCTCTCCGAGAGCTGAAAACCGGCGGCCTCCTCCTCTGCGCCGCCGCCGCCGCCGCCTCTGCGCGCCAGCCAGCTGCGCTTGACGCGCTCGTACAGAGCTGACACCGAGTTGGCGAACATGGCGCCCAGGTCGGCGATCACCGTCACCGTCAGCGGGATCCCGATCATGGCGAACAGCATGCAGAAGATGCGGCCGCCCACCGTGCGCGGCGCCATGTTGCCGTACCCTGCGGCACAATGGCGGACGAGGGGTCAGTCAGTATTACAGGAGATAAACTTCAGCACTGTGGGTTGCTGAGCCCACGGGCTGGTCCAAATAGTGTGCCTGAGATAAGGAAAGGCGAGCTTTACATGTGAGTGAGGTTTTTAAATATAAAGTTTGTTTGCATTGCTATATAAAGAGCATCAAGATGCAAATGATATATATAATAAATGATATATGATAATACAAATGATAGAGATGTCAGGTGTGTGTGATCTATAGGACACGATGCATTTGATTTTAGTCGTAAAAACCTACACACTTCTTACATTACGGTTTCAGGTGAAAAATCATCACCTGTCAACAGGAATACTAACTTATTGGCATACAGCCGGGCCTAGCCGTTATGGATCACGTCCGGTTATAGTTTGGACAGGTCATCAGAGTGGCGATCCTGGTCAGCCTCCGGTCGGTACCCGGGGGATACCGGCTGACCCCTGGTGCCCCAGGGGAGGGCGCCAGATGGCTCCTGGATATGGGCAATATGCATCGGCAATGTCCCTGCTAGAGCGGGCTCAGCGGTCGTGGTATACCGGCCATAACAGCAGGCGAACTGCAACACCTGCTCCGAACGGCAACCGTAGCAGTAAAAACGTGCATAAAGTGTTGCTGATTTAAGTGGCGGCAGCACATTCTAGTGCACTGCAGAAGTTGCCCTGCAACATTTAAAAGCAGTAAAATCCGCCCCGGGCGGCGAAAGACTGGCATACGGAGGGCAATTTACGATTGTTTGCAGTTGTCAGTCGATGCGGCTGTGCGCTATAGCTTGTTCGTTTGGCACCGGTGGGAAGGTTGGTTGGATGTAGCCCGCGCACACCTACGCGATTGGACGCACCCGGCCCGACCGCACCGACGACGGGACACACAGAGATGGAACACGTAAAAATTGGACGCACATAGAGACGCACGGCAACACATAAAGACGGAACGAACAAACGCACATGGACGGAGCGCACAGAAACGAGACGCATTGGGATGGAACGCACAGACAGACGCACATCCATACAAAAAGACAGAACGCATAGAGACGAACACACAGACGGAGCACACAAGCCACACCGATATGGAACGCACGTAACGGCGGCCGCATGGGCAGACGCACCGAATGGACGCACCACACCAGATGCCGACGAGACGACGCATATTCGGTCCGACGCATACCGACGCGTGGTGGCAGCCAACAGAGTAATGGTTTCGGCCGACGCCTGTTCTTCAGCTCATATAATTAGGCCACCACCGTGGGACCTATCCGTCATAGGAAAATAGCCAGGCAACGATGAGCGATCGCAGGACCACACCAATCATCAATATCGCTAGGAAAAGCACGCTGGCTAGACGTTTACCCACGAGGAAGACCAGGAAGATAGCCAACTACAGAGAAGGTGCGGATATTCAAGATGATAAAATGAAATGAGGATAATGGGCTAATGGGTTTTAAAGACAATGAGGATAGTGATCAAAGCTGGGAAAAGATCAACTTCTACTGAGAAGATAAACAGATCATGTAACTTCTTTTTAGGGACATATTTGTGTTATGAGGTTATCGGTGGAGCCAACAAATGTACATAAGTGCACTTTTAGTTATTTGTTGGCTCCACCGATAACCTCATAACACAGATCATGTAACGAATGTAGGCGCTGTATTAGCACTATGACAAGAACCCAGGGGGAGGCACTCGCCTTGGCCGTATATGGGCCAGAATGTCTAACGATTTCCGCCATGTTGTGTATACCAAAGTCTTGAAAAGTTGATCACTGCAATCAAACTGCAAGCATGAAGCAGCAGCACTTTTGAGTTGTGTACCTCTCACTAAACTGCACCTCTGCTACCGTACATGCAATTTATATTTCTGGTATACACAACATGGCGGAAATCGATAGACAAAAACAAGTCACCAATGCTCCTTCCAGTATATATTAGAGTTCAGTGCAAGAACCGCATGCTTCGGTCAAAATTTCATTATTAATGTTTATATAGGCACATGTTAGCAGGGATGGCTTCAAATGTATTTAACTCTATGTATGTAGGACATCATTGTGCTCGTACTCGTAGTAGAATATCAACATAACCCGTGGTTTTACACTTTTTGACAGGGGGCGTACGTACGTCACGGAGTCTTGATACCCTCATAATAGTGTTAACCGATTTCTCGTCGTTATTCAAGTTATAAATGGGCTATACCGTCGTTAAATGACCCGGAACTGCTGAGGACTGAAGGCGGAATGGATCCAGTTCGAGCTGTGTCACCAAAGAAACCGTCAATTAAACGGGCTTGGAAACGGCACGGAGACGAGCGCCGGCGACCATCATTTGACATGAAATCCATTAAGATGGCGTGCCGAAGGAGCAGCATTCACCATGGAGCGTTTCGTCTGTCATGTGCCGTTACGGTCAGTGGCCCGCTCATCATATAGGTTGCGTCTCTAAAGTACGTTGTAAAGTGTATATTTTCAACGTTGCGTGACGACGGAGGCTGTCAACTGTCACGCACAGATAACGTAAATCTCTGGACGCATTAACAGAACACCGCTGTTTCCTAGTTTCTGGTTCTTGTTAAGCGGAGCCCGGAGGAGAGGTTTTAATATTATGCCCGATGTGTTAAATGAGAGTTACAAATTTAACCGGTGTGTCACGGTTTCATTATTTATGCCATTGCAGGTGCGGGGATATTTAACAATGACGAGGCATCCTGACTTTCTTTCGGTCGATGGAGCTCACTTTCAATCCTAAAAGTGTCTTTATTGCTGGGGGGGGGAGGGGGCTGTAAACACAAACCTCAGAGCACTCGCTAAAACAGTTAATTCTAATCGATATCTTCGGAATGAATGCCGCCATCTTGCTGTAACGTCAAGACGCTCTTTGATCGGCAGCGCGGGCGATAAACAGAACGAATGACGTCAGCAATCACGTGACTCACGATCCAACGTCAGAAAGCGGTAAACTTTGATCCGAGTTTTGAGGCTGCCCTTCCAGTTGCTAGGCTAAAGGCCGCCCCACACTGGACCTCGCATGCGGGTTGCGAGCTTTTGGATTTTCGGGTTTCTTCGAAATCAAATGATACAATCTAAGCTGAGTGACCCACACTACCGTCTAACAAGCGAGTCTGCATATTTTTAGCTTGCGAGCGACCTTGCATCGCATTCCAAGAGTTGATTTTGAGTCAACTTTCGATTTTCCTCGCTGCGAGGTCTGCGAGTTCTGCGAGGTTTGCGGGTTTTTCTTTGGAGTCGAATTTTGGTTCGTTGTGCTGGTATTGCGACTATATGTAAGTTTCTGAAGGTGTACCGGCTTCACTGCATTCATGAATTTACCATAAGGGAGCGGTCTAATCACTCTATGAATTAGTATTATGCCCGCAAACTCAAAACCCGCAAACTCGCAACCCGTATGCGAGTTCCAGTGTGGGGCGGCCTTAAGATGAGCATATCTTTGTACGCTTATGCTTGACCGAACGCTGTTGGTTTTCTTTGTAAACAGATAGATGAGCAGGCATCGAGACCTTCTTACTACAATGAATCTATAAAAAAACGAACTCACCATGAGTCACCAGCATATAAGCAAAACATGCTCCTTCAAATATTTGAACTGATGCGAGTAACAGATCACCATTCAAGCTCGCTATGGTTACGGTATTCAAACCCATATCAAATTCGTTAGATCATTCGTTGGGATATTTGTGTGGATAATCACGTGGCAGTTGACAAATGAAACTATTGGCTGTACCTGTTTATCTATGGGTATAGGGTCGGTGCTCATTTCATCAAACATATCTTATTGACTACAGAAAACCGCTTGGACGGATGAATGTGAATGTGGTCAGCTTCAGAACATTAGCTGCATCATCTCAGTCAATCCTGAATCTTCCTAAAAAAATGTTTAGAAAATAAAAGCTCATGGACCTTGCCAGCAATAAAAACATGTGCACTGATCTAAATGCATTTGCCGAATGTTTGTCGTATCACAGCCACGAACGGCTTATAACAACCCTGCAGTCTTCTATCTGTGGTCGTCCTCGACCGGCCCTGACCCAGCCGTATCGATTTGTGTGAGCATAACGCTGATCTCCCAATCGCATGCGGATAGGCCATTGCATTTCATTGGGCTCAGCCGTCGTTATAACTCATCAGAATGTCATCCCTATACCACGGCTGTCCTGGGGAGGGGAGGGGCTCGTCTGGGAGCGCCGGGAGGGAGTGGAGAGGACGGACCCGCTTCTGGGAGACGGCCAACGGTCCTGCGGGTTCCATATGTAAGCTGAATACAGTTGAACGATGCACGCAAGTTCACGCATAGTTAGTTGTCTCTAGTTTTTTTTTATAATCTCTAGTTTCTAGACGTTTAGTTTTATCAGTTTCTGAGCGGAAATGAGTCACCACCAGCTGCTCGGATGTGTGCTCTGTCAACAGGAATGGGTGTAATGAAACATTCGCTAGTCTAAGGTCAACAATGCACCTGCCATCGTTAGTTTGATGCTTTCCGTCGCTGAAGTAAAATCGCTGTAAGGGAAGGGTGATCTTATGCAGAAGCGGCAGAAGCTGTGATATCTTGGTTGTAGCTCTGTTTGCTATTGTTGACTCGTAGAATGTATGTGACCAGTGGTTTTAATGAACCTTTGCTCAATCAAATGTTTGTATGAACAGTTCAATGAATATAATCACAAATCAATTATTATTCATCACTTACTCATACTCTTTGAGACTTAGACAAAAATAGATCACGATCACCACTTTGTATTTGCATTAATATTTTTAATGGAATAACCTTCTGTTCAAAATTCTAAAAATTGCCAAAAGTTACCAAAAACACTTGAATATATTTCGGAGGCGTTCCTTCATCGGTTCAAGTTCATCCATGTTCATCCATCAAGTTCATCCATGTCACTTGAACCGATGAAGGAACGCCCCCGAAATATATTCAAGTGTTTTTGGTAACTTTTGGCAATTTTTAGAATTTTGAGCAGAAGGCTATTCCATTAAATATATTACATATAATGCTGAGTGTTCACCAGAGTGCTTCGTCATTTGTTTGCATTAATATTGTTCAACTTTTAATAACCGACAACATTAGGGAAGACAGCTTACTTTTAATCCATCTACGAAAGCTCTCGAAACATTTTACTCATCACGGATTTGATGAAAGGGCATGCAGCGACGTTTGCTGATCTGTGGCTTATCGCACGAGTGTGCAGACAAACTGGCGCTATTAACACGCCATAAATAACCGCAAATGTCCACCAAACTAGTCCTTAGTCACGAAAGCCACGCCTCAATCAGATTAAACCTGAAAACCAAGACAAAGACATTTCCACGCAAAATCTGTCATAAATGTCGAGTTACAAGGTATTATGAGTCAATGCGACGGAAATCTGCCTTATAAGAAAGGATCTGCTTTAGAAATCTGGCTGGAATGAATTATAATTAACTGACATTGCACTGCAGTAATTAAAGTTCTCTACTTCATAAGCCCTATACCTGATCACCCATAGCAACCACGACGTTCCTAATACGAACACAGATAGCTGTAGTCGGCCACCGAGCACCCCGCCCACGTCACCCCCGGATGACGTCACAGGTCTGCGAGGCTCGCGCCGCTCTCGTTCGGTCGTCCCCCGTCGGACCGCGCACTCAGGTGTAACCCAAGCGGCGGTCGGCGGCCGGCCAGCTGGCCGCGGCCTCACGCTGTTTATTCCCCGGTGCCAGTGTTTATCACTCGGCCGCGGGGTGCCTGTCGTGCCACCGCTGCCGCAGCCACACCGTTCCGCCCCCGCCAGACCTCTCAACCAGCACAAACTGTTTGCCGAGAGCCCAGAGTCGTGGCGGCGGCGCTGGGTAGGCTGTGCCGCAGCACACTGACGTACGGCGGGTGGCCTACCAATCAGGGGACCGCGGCGCCGCGCGCCTGCGCGGTAGACTGTGCCGGTGGACAGCAGCCAGAGATGCATGGAACGCCGGCGTTTTATAAGCTCAACAGCCGGGCTGGGATGCTGTAAACGATGGCGGCACAGTGTCGATGGATGACTGAACCGAGAGGCGGAGCTGGTGAGCGCTACAGCGCGCGGCTGTCGGGTGTCGCATGGCCCACGTACGATACAATAACGCCCCAAAGCCAGTCACGCTCTCGGCCCAGAGAAAATAGTGAACCTCTCATCCCTCTCTCTCTCCTCCTCCTTCCTCCCTCTCTCTCTCTTTCTCTCTTTCTCTCTCTCTCCTCTCATTCATTTCCCTGACCATCACCTGCAGCAATCAAACATGGCTCCCATACGTTCCAAAGAAATTATCATGAATTTAAATGAAATCATCAGCAATCTCTGCGTCCGGGATGATATGATCAGAAGGTTATGGCGGTCAAATCGCTATTGGATTTCTGAATAGGATACTGACGGTGCCACGCATGTCAGGCTCAGCCCTGTGATCATAATTAGGAGCTTCTATTCAGTCGTATCAAATTTGCATAATACCAGCCATAGACCTCAATCGACTCCCCAAACGCACGCTGAAGGCATCTTGTGATGTTCAAAATAGATCATGTTGCCAAATTCCATGCATTGCGTGGTAGTGGATTAAGATAATGACGTCTCGAATTCATGAATGCTGAACATAAAACATATCACAACACAGATAATAGGAAGCCTTCACTATTTAGGCAGCACTTCCGTTATCTATGCACATCATCAAAGGCATCGATTTCACATGGAAGATGACTTCAAAAGGTGTCAAACTACCATTGGCATATGAAATCATCTAGAAAATGTATTGCCTCAGAATCGCTTGCATTGATCCTTGTGTTTGGTGAGTTTTAAACAAAGCTTTTATTACGGAGCGAGCGAAGCGAGCGTAGTCTTTCCTTAGATTAACGGAAATTTCTGAGTATGAGCGGCCGGCCGGCCGGCCGGCCGGCCGTGGTCACGCTTTTGCGACGCTTATATCTCAGCAACCACTTGACCGATTTACACGCGGTAATTTTTGTAGGGTAGCTTCATTCCTTCTACCAAGTATTGCACTATTCCCGATGCATGTGGGTGACCCCTTATGCACGTGCCACGTGGAAAACGAAGAGGTGTCACTTTTGTAATTGTTGCAATATCTCGGTAACTACTAGGCCGATTGCGCTGAAAGTTGGCATGTAGGTAGGCACCCACTAGGCAATGCATATCTATGTGCCAGAGTTGGGGTGCTGCTGCACGTGCGCACGTGCAGGGGTCGATTCCAGATCTCGAGAACGGCTGGACCGATTGCGCTCAAATTTGGTACATGGTTAGGGACCGGTTAGTAGGGTGCCGTGCACAAGTCAGTTGGGACCCATTTTGCACGTGCGCACGTGCAGGGTGCCGCTTCCAGATCTCGAGAGCGGCTGGGCCGATTGTGCTCAAATTTGGCACATCGCTAGAGACCGGTTAGTAGGGTGCCGTGCACAAGTCAGCTGGAGGTACCCCCTCGCGATTTCGCACGTGCGAGGCCCACCCTCTCGCTCGCTCCGTTAGTCGCCCCAAAAGGCGTTATACTGGTGGTTACAGACAAAAATGCGGCACTATAACACTGACCCATCCCGATGCCAGCCTTCAAGGGTATTGGATGAGTCTATTCTGATCGCTCGGATACTATGTAAACCGCCTGAAACTACAGGAATAGCCTAACATCAGTGACCTATTGTGCTTGCTCTCTGAAAGCTTCCTCCTCATCTAATCTCCATTACCACCACCTGCCGGGCACCGGCTGTGTTCATCCGGAGTCCCGCCGCCAAACTACACAAACCCAGCGCCTGTCCGCGGCGGGAACACTGACACCGGGGTCACAAAGAAGGCTCTGTTCACGGCTAGTGGCGCACGCACCAGACGATCACGGTAGAGCCGCGCGGCGACCGCGTCACGGCGGCGAGACCGGTTGCCAGCCCCGCCGGCCGGCCCGCTAAAAAACACCGCCCGGGGGGGGGGGGGGGCAGGTGGGTGGGGGGTGAATGTTGCTGTCGGTGACTCGAGAAGTCGTATCGCCTCTGCGCCAGAACAAATGTCGACAGCAGGTCACGCTGTCGGAACAAATTTCGACAGCCGACTCCGGTGCCGTTGCCAAAACAGAGGTGAATTAAGTGTTTTTGTGTGTGTGCCACGTCAGCTCTGACACAGTCAGACAAAATGAGAGCTAGCATGCTATGCTCCGACACTTAAATTTGACACAGAGTGAAAAGGAACCAGCAAACAGGAACATAGATTCGTCTGTTTGGTTTGACTGGATCACTTTTGATTCTTTTAATTAGGAGTGCATATAAGTATAAGCATTTAATAAGCCATTATCAAATCAGCGGGCTTTGTTCTAGGGAGCCGGATTGATTTTACTTACCAATAGTAGTTAGCACCGTCGAAGAGAAGAACAAGGAATGTATGTAGTTCCATTTATACTGATACCGGTCCTCGCCCGGAGTCAGGTCAACGCCTGACCGCACCGCTCCGAGGAGATCGGCCTCATAGGCGGTCAGCAGCTCTCTGTCGGGTCAGACAGTGTCACAAGGTCAGCCACAGAGGTCACCGAGTCACTGGAACTATCTAACTTCATGGATAAGCGGTAAACACGGCGGAAAGCTAGATGAGAAAGCCAGCACAACCTGGCCATAATCATAACAGGCCTCGTTCGGTGATTATTGGAGAAGGTGCGAGAAACCCAAATAACAACAAACCTAATTCTCAGCTCGGCACTTGGTGAGAGGAGAAGGCAGACGCTGACGGGAAAACGAGGTTTACAACAGGTGACGAAAATAACATTTGCGAAGTAATGCGTAGACCGAGCTACAATATAGTGGCAACGGCAAAAGGCAGCACTTCGAGGCAGACATTATGGAACGCAGTAGCGTGAAACATGTTTTTGTGAGTAGGGTCCCGTGGGTTTCAGCGTATCAGCTAGCTTCTCCTCCAACAACTAACTTGAACGCCCTGAAGAAGTGTCTTCGGTCCCTTCTGACCGCCCGGGTCCAGCCCGGAAGCAACAACACGAACAAGTTTGGCCACGCTGCACATCACCTTACCAATGATTTCTGAGGTACAGTTGGGGCCAAACCATCTATAAAAAGATGAAGTATTCGTTTTGGTACGAAAAGCTCAGTAGCTCTAATGATAGAAATGGCAGCAAAGCAAAGGAGACAAGGTTCCCGCAAGATATTATGCATAACTACTTCCATCCTTGCTTCCATCCTGGTATGGGGGACTGAATTGAAGGATAGCGAAAAATGGTAGGTACCTGGGTACCTAACAATATTCACACCGTTCTTAGCGCAGTACACTTCACTTAGCAGGCAAAAATGGCGTATTCAACGTGCTCCGATGTGGTCGATATGAGAATGGCCCTATCACCGATGGTTGATTAGTGTAATCCGTTTCCCAACTCATGTTTGCCGCCAATGAATCAATAATGATCATGGACACAATCACTGCCCTTGGGATTTAGATAAAGTTAGCCACACGGTATCATGTAATGCACTTTTACACCATAGTATAATCAAGAGAGAAAGTTGACATAACTCACTGCGGAAGTTGGCCGATTTTAATCTCCTAACAACACGTCGCGCCGTGAAGCTGTCATCCAGCGTCCCTACTAAAGTTTCTAATCAGCCTAATTAGTTATCCAGCCCACTCAGCCGCGCCGGGAGCGCGCCACAACTGTCGACGTAAACGGAGCGCGGCGCAGTCCACGGCTGAGATAAGACCCAGTTCCGTCTCCAGCTGTAGCCGCCAGCGGCGCTCGGAGACTGGGGAGACTCGTCGCACCCGAGGCGCCAACTTTCCATTGTATCGACCAGGCGGACAGTTAACGAGTAACGACACCACACCGTGGTGGCTCGCCGATCCACCACGGTGGATCCAGCTGTGGTCTCCAAGCCGCGTCTCTGCACCAAGTCGTGTCTCAGGTCGGTCAACGACGACGCGACGGTGACCTCGCTATTACGTCAGACCATCCGCCGACCTCGCCGACACGACATGGCGGTCGGAACGGCGTCTGTTCCACGGTCAGGCTGAGTAACGGAAAACCCGGTAGAAGGGCGAGCCTGGTGTCTGCTAGTGGCAGTGGGCGGAAATAGACGAAAGAAGAGTCGCCCGGTCGAGCGGCTGATCTGAGCTGTGCTGCTCTCCAGTCTACAGCCACGGCTCAGAACGGGCTGTCCAACGGTTGGCCACGGCCAGTGGTGCGCCAATAAAGCGGGACCATGCGGCGCGACACGCGACTGCAATGGGAAACACATGACCGCGTGACCGAGCCCATCTGTGGCCACGGCGAGGAAGAGCGGGAGAAAGAGAGGGAGAGGGAGATAGTTTTGCTGCCGGGGCCACGCCCTGACACCGGTGGAACGGACCAAACTTAAGATGGTACTGGGGGAAGGGGATTAGACTTTGCGATTAAATTAGCTGGGCAGACAAAATTATAATGTTCGGGCGTGCGCTATGGGAACAATATTAACTCTCCCCAAGGGGATATAAAAGTATACCCATGAATATAGAAGCCAATGAAGCCGTTCGGTAAAATGGATGGCCAATAAAATGCTTCTAGTGAAAAATAAGAAAGATTCTAAATCGTTATAATTTTTACAAGTGCTGCAGAATTACATTAGCCACCACGACCTAAGGAAGTAACTGGTTGTATCATGTATGACCGCATGGTTTTGATTGTCTCTTAGATGCACTACATTTAAGAAAATATTCAGACGACAGACAGTAATTGGCAATGAGTCAATCGCCTCCCTCCCATTCGTCGACACCCAATGACTCGTCAAATTATCTCCTGACTACCGTCCGGGTCCATCTGTCGACTGAACAATCCACAGCACCCAGCTCCCACCAGCTCAGCGGACGCGTTAGCACCCTCATTAGCTAGTAGCCATCTAATTCTGCCGCCGGCGCCAGGTCCGCTCGGGGGAGCTCGGCCGGTCGGTCCGTCACGGTTGGACCGGTGAGACCGACCGTAAAACCGCCGTAAAGCCGACCGGCCCCCGACGCTAGCCAATCACAGGGGCATCCCTGTGCGACCCGAGGGGTCCGAGGGGAGAGGTGGGGGTCGGTCACAGCCGGAACCGCCGCAAACCGGCCGGAAACGACCAACTGTGCTCGCGGAGAACGGAAGATGGGAGCAGACCGCCAGCGGAGGATTAGACGGGATAGAACGGGAGGTGATATTAGCTCGTGAAGTCGACCAAAAAGGAAACGTGAGCTGGATTTTGGAGCCACACAAAGAAAAAGTAGTCATCTCTTTCGGACATAGTCTGGTAGAAGAGTTAAAGCGAATCGAAGAATTCCATATTCTTTGAACATCAGCAGGGATATTGAAAATAAATTGGGTTTGATGCATTCATGTACTTACACGTTTGTTCGTTCAATCAAAATCATAATTAATGTCCTCTAACCTAGATATGAAGTCTACATGGCCAGGTGCTGGTGGATGTGAGCAAAAACATTATTACGAGCATTTGAACAGCAAGGCTGCATTAGAAGAAACCTCTGTCGTTGGCAGACTGACCTGAGCATGGTTTCGGAGCTGGACACTTCACTGCTGTTCGCAATTGTGAAGAGGAGCCGACTTCGGTGGGACATGACCCTGGTCACAGCCACGGCCACGTCCGCCTCCTCCCGAGGCAGTTCAATGTCCTGGAACACCTGCAGGTGGGCGTGCAGGTCAGAGCAGGATGGCATGACACTCACACGTTGATTATCTGTCAGCCAGTGATGGGTAGTGACGTTAGATGACGATCTAGCAATGGCAGCTGTGTGACGTTCAGCAACATATGAACACCAAATACCCGTAGCCTATGAACATCATGTGACCTTTGCCTGACCCCTGACCTTGGCTCCGCCGGCCGTGTAGACCATCAGCAGCAGGATGAGGCCCAGGTGGCCGCCGACTTTCCGCAGCCGCTGCTGGGCCTTCCGCCACGAGGAGGGCGCATTGATGAAGGTGACGCTGACTCGCGGCTGGCTCTCGCTGTTGACCTTCTCGCCCATCATGCAGCGTCATCATGTCACAAGGCGGCGCCGGCGGCCCTGCGGCGGCGGGGGCGGGGGCGGCGGCGGGGGCGGCAGTTAGCGCGACGGACAGACCACCGCCGAGAGCTGCCACCGCTGATGTACGGCCGGCCAGCACAGTCGAGCTGCAGAATTAATTGTCTAATGGGGAGCGGCTACCGGTGCGGCCGGGTGGCAGCGCCGGCGCGGGGCTCTCGGGGTTCCCGACCCCCGCAGACTGTCCCCGCCCGGGGCTGTGCCGACGCCGGGGCTCAGTGGTAGCCGGACCCGGCCGGCCGGGATACTCGCCGCCGCCGGCTCGGTCGGGCGGAAGACGGTAAATCTTGGCCGAGGCGGCCAAATGGAGATATATGTCCATTGTCCAAATTAGGACAGCTCCAGTATGGAGCGTCTCTCATCCCCAGAGAAAGATCGCTCGGTATAGCGGATTGACGCCGGGATAACTACGGCCCATTGTCAGAAATATTCGCGGATAGAATATGAGCGACGGGCGCAAGAGCTCTGTATTTTGACATAATCTACAATGAGTTGGTTTGGTTGGAATATTTATTGGGCATTTTGATAAAATGCAGCGCTGACATAATGTGGCATTACAAGGCTCACGCTAAAAGATGAATCGTTCTGCGGTATTTCATGCCATAGCAAGGACAAAAGAAATATATGATTGGTTGGGAGTCGAAACACGGTTTCCGTTGGGTAACTGAGCGAGTGGTTTGGAATTAAATTGAATGTCGGACGTCACCAGCCGTAAAGTATGTCGTTGTGGAGCCCTTCAGTTCTGATAAATGCTAGCTACAAACGAACACTCCAACCTAAATCAGAGCTAGCTGTACTCTTTGGAAGTGGTTGTTTGTCATGTAACACAGCTCTCCAATGCTCTCAATGTTGTCATAACAACATCAAAACGTCCGAAAACTCGTAATCCTGTCGTTGGTGGTAAGATGGATATTGGAACAAATCGATGCATCATCCATTTAAATAATTATTAAATCAGAATTGGACGCACATATACGGCTTGCTCTGCTAACTATCAAGTTACCTTTGTGAAGTGTTTGCCAGTAATCCGGAAACGTGCCCTTTCTCTTCCATCGGGCTCGGGCCATCGGCTCAGATATGGCTGATACAGGGTCATTAAAGTAGCTTACATGCATAGATAGCGACTATGCCTTCATTAAACTCATCCTCTGGGCCATATTTGGGCTATTTACATTAATTTGACGGCTCCGAACTTTGTGGACAACTCAGATAACAAAGGTCGTTCGTGGTGCTAATGAAGGCCTGGAGAAGCCTTATTATCAAATTACGAGCTAAGAGCTAGTTGATCACTGATTATTAGCAATAATCGCGGCGTAGCTTGTTTTCGCGCACACCTTACTACATTAATTGTATAACTGGAACACACCTTACTACTGTATAATTGGAAGACGGATGCGTTTGAGACATCCAAGGAGCTAACGACTTTGGGGCTAAGCAAGCCCTCTTGCTTTGCAGAGGGGCCCCTGGATTTGCCCGTACCGCAAATGCTGCATCCGATCCCAAATGTCCGTATAGATTAAAGTCCCTTTGGTGTAGGTACTTTGGATTGCTATAAAAATAGACTTTATTGCAAAAATCAATTACGATAGCCCTTTTTCGATGTTCCTCTGGAGTGGTATCACCAAATAAATTAAGAAATTCTGCTGACTGACGCTGAATCGGTCACCCCGGATGAATTCCGACCCGTATGAGCGAGCCCTGTGGCCATTCAGCGCCCACAGCAGGCCCCTGTTTCCGACCACGCCCGAACCGCCGCGCCGTGCGCCACGGCCGTGGTCCCGACTGCGGCGACCCGTGAACGGTGGATGGTACCGCCAGCCAACGGCAGCGAACTACAGAGTCGGGACGACGGGCCACACCCAGCCGGGCGCCGGAGCCGTCTGGCACAGCTGGGTCATTGATACCGTCACCGATGGTGATTCTGATACTGACGTTGATTTTATCACTGACAACAATACTGACGTCGACACGCTGTCAAGACTGATACTGAAGCATACCAATACACATACTGACATCGATACCGTCACCGAAAGTCGCATTGATACCAACACTGATTCTGAATCTGATACTGACACTACACCGATACGATCACCGACACTGACACTAATGCAAACACAGAAACTGATACCGGCACTGACGTGATACTGACACACATACGGAGCAGACACGACCACATACACCGGCAACCACAAATGACGGCCGTATGTCTCTCTTGTACTTCTAGAAAACAATAAAAAATGTGCTTATTTACCAAGCAGGCTTGAAAGCGTTTGAGGTAAGTACATTCATTGCTCCCCAGACGACCGCAGTGTAGAATTGTCAACAGAGAAGGTACCGGCAGAATAGAACCCTAAAGGAGCACCATCCTGAATGTTCCCGACGGCCAACGGGCAAATGCTGTCAAGAATCCGTAAAATGTGTACACAGCGTTCGATGTCAGGACTTCGAACTTTTCCAGCACCTTGGCGAGGGTTAAGTGCATACCTTCATAAATCCTTTCCGATTTTTGCCTGTGAAACTGTGTGAACTCTGACAGCTTGGAGCAGTAGAATTCAAATAAGTCTGTTGGCTGTGACAGCCGAGTGCGAAAATGAAAAACGCTTCAACAGTAGCTCCAATATTGTGTCTAATCCACTGGACTATTTCATCTGTCAGTACGGCTTGGTAGAACATTGAACCCTAAAGGGCGCCTTCACATGAGCACACAATAGAGAAAGAGAGAGAAAGAGAGAGAGAGAGAGAGAGAGAGAGAGAGAGAGAGAGGGAGAGGGGGCGGGAGAGAGGAGGGGTACAGAAAGGACGCGAGAGGGAGATGGAGCGAGAGAGAGAGAGAGAGAGAGAGAGAGAGAGAGAGAGAGAGAGGGAGAGAGAGAGAGAGAGAGAGGAGAGAGAGATAGAAAGACAGAGACAGAGACAGAGACACAGACAGACAAACAGACAGACAGACAGACAGACAGACAGACAGAGGAGACAGATTTAGTCGTTGTCGGCCCACGAGATCTGTTGGACCGATCCGGAGATCAGGGCGGTGGGCACGAGCCGCAGAGTGCTGGTACTGCTCATAAACCTCCCGGAAACGGTCTGTCCTGCCGTAAGACGGAATTTCTGAGCCACTCTCGATTTTAGCGGGTTCACACACTCCCAAATGTCCTTTCAGCACAGAGACGGCTCTCAGAGACACTTCCTGCGCCTCCTGGCGTTCTCGAGCCGACCCACTCACCCCTGCCCTCCCTGGCACCACCTTCCCCGAGATGAGTCAGTGCGGGTGTCGTATCCGACGACCCGTCATCCCCGCCGCGACACGGGTCCGACACCGGCCCGACTAACGAGAGGGGCCGGCCGGCGGCGGCCCGTCGCTGACGTGACGGGATCAGCGTCGCCACCGACGGACCCTCAGCGTCGCCGTCGACGGGACCACCCAGAGATCCGCCACGTGACGTCCTCCTCTCTCTGGAGGTCGGATAAATCACGGCGAGGTGGAGACAGGCGGACTGGGGAGTGGCGTCCTTGTTGGTTGAGTTGGGTTATCACAGAGTGATATAGCCTATGTCGGTGCTATGCATTCCAAACAGTGCGGATTTACATTTTCTTTCAGCGTCGGTGAGTACAGTAATTTTCGTGTCTTCTCTTCGTTGGATAGGGAAACAGACAAAAATAAGCTGTCAGCCTTCTCTTGTGTTTTTAATTCCCACTCATATTAAAGCAGCATTATTAAATCTCTAGAAATTACCAGCATGACTGGTCCACCTGTCTGATTTGCTTTTATATCAGGTTAATCTCATAAGGTTGCGCGATATTGGCAGCATCCTTTTCGCACTGTTTTCGCTTTCCAGCAAATTCCAGCCTTAGGACGAAGAGATGGAAAGACAAATTAAAAAGAGATGAAGTCATACGAGGGGCGTTCAAAAAGTTCCCGGCCCAACCATGAAGGAGTTGGAATTTCGGCCTGCAACGCGGTGTGTTCAATGATGTGTTATTGGGATGTCCACTTACGTAGCCTTAACCAATCTGCCCTGTGATTGGTTCAGGCTGCTAATTAATCGTAACATAGTTTGCCATTCCCGGTCAGAATGGGCGACGCCCAGAAGAAAACAGTGATTTGGTTCATGCATTGCAGAAAAATGCACTAAACGTTATTCACGAAAAGCTAGTGCCAACACATGTTGAGGTTTGTCTTTCATACAGTAGCGTCAAAAAGTGGGCATCTCTGTTCAATTTTGGTCAATGGATCATTAATGGTCACCCCCGCAGTGGCCAGCCATCAACAGCATTGACTCAAGAAAATATAAAAAATAGGCACTTCTTTGTGAAAAATGACAAATGCTCTGGTCTGGAACAACACAGCAGAAGTGGAGGTGTCTATAAGGTTCCTCAAAGCCATTCTCCGACAGCGTATTAATATGTTTAAGATCTCTGCAAGATGCATCCCCCGTTTGCTGACTCCAGAGGAAAGGCAAGCTCGAAAGGAGGCGTAACGCGAAAATTTTGTTCCCTATATCGAAGATCCAAAAGAGCTCATTGAACTACTTGTTACCGTGGAGGGATTGTGGGTGTCACACGTTGACCCCAAGGGCGTGACCGAGTTGCACAAGTGGAAGCACACTGAGTAAAGGCCACCAAATGTGTGCGACGTGTTTAAGTCAGACGGCAGGGTGACAGTGGTTGCATTTTGGGAGCCTGGCGGGGCTCTGCTCGTCAACTTTCTAAAACAGGGGCGCACAATTAATGATGAATACTACACCTTCCTTCGATAACAGTAGCGAGCAGCAGATATCAAGGAGAGACTAGGGAAGCTGACTAAAAGTGTGCGCCTGATCCAGGACCACGCACCAGCACACATGAGCAGGGTGACGATCAGCGAAGCAGTGAGCTCTGGCCTCGAGTTGTTGCCACAGCCACTTTTTTCTCCGTACCTTGCACCCTCAGGTTGCCACCTCTTCAGCAACATAAGAAAATTGCTTAGCAGTGGCAACTTCGCTGACAGCAAGGAGATAAAAGCAGCCGTCTTGGACGTGCCAGATGCGTCCAAAACCCACTTGGCTATGGAGGCCCAGGGGCCTCTCGCGAAGCGCTGCGCGAAATGTTTTTGTCTTAACGCTGGTTATTTGACTAAATGAACATTTTTGGTCTTATAAGTCGACATCGTATCTCTGCTCCTTCATGGTCGGGCCGAGAACTTTTTGAACGCCCCTCGTATCTTGTTTGATGTCCATCAAAGCAATGGATAAAAAAAATCTTGAATAGAGCCGTCACGTATTATAGCAGTCTTAATATGAATTCCTGACCTCAAACGGCAGAAGAAGAAGAAAAAAAAAACGAACAGAAATGTTTATGCTTGACAAAACAGAAATTTCATCAGGATTTGATATCATTGAGACATATAAGGATTCGTTAGTATGTGCGAAATAACTTGCATGAAATATCTGACGCATCAGATAAAGCGTTACCCACCAAATCATTTAAAGCTTATTTCTTTAAAACTACACTAATACGCCATATCATGTTTGCTACAAGACCTATACAATGTAATAAGTCCTTCCAAGACCTCGACTTGCAGTTCGCAGCTCCAACTTCTTTATGAGTCGGTGGTCGAAATGGCCAGCCCAACAACATGCGGTGGACATCGTACAAATGGCGGCTCAGCGAGGTGTCGGTGGCCGAGCTCATGTTGATAGTGCGAACAAAGACGACGTCCAGTCACGCTAGCTCACAATCACACTGCGGGCTGAAAAGTTGGAACAAATGGGACAGGCGGACATTATGCCTAAATTAGGCAGCCCCGCAGAGCCAGTGATTAGAGTTACCATCAAACTCCACAGGTGGTCACTTGGCGAAGGAAGACGCAGTGCAAAGACGTGATCATTGTGTAAATGACTCTATTTTTTGACGATAGCGGTAGTGACATTGTTGCATTGTACCAGATCTACTTTCGGAAAACAAGTAATAGTTGCGTTTGCATTACAAGCACCCGCCATATATATCAGCAAACAATTTTAATCAGAATCTGTCACCGTCTGTTTATTACAAGCACCCGCCATATATATCAGCAAACAATTTTAATCAGAATCCGTTACCGTGTGTTTAAACTATGAATCATTCAAGATGTTCGATGGGAGGTGCTTACCATTGATTTCGATATTTACATTTCAACTGCAGATTTGGTTGCCTGGTAATGCTCTCGAATTAAAGAAAAGTTATAATATTGAACACCAAAAGACTGTCGGAATAATTTTGGCGTGAAGCCTTTGATTTAGGAAAGAGTATGGAGTGAGTGATTATTTTTGTGTATTTTGACAATGGGGCATTCCACGTCAAATCGAACAAAAATCGGCTGTTTTGCACCTTACCATCAGCGATTTCATTATAACTTTGTGAGCGAGTTCCTGTGTGGCCCCGGACATTACATTGATGTTTTTTGCACATTCTGACCACAGGTCTTCTAAATATAGGGCATCAAATTTTTACAAAATGTTGCATCTTTATATTTTTGAACGACCATAACTTTGGTTGTACTTGTTTGATTTGAATGAAATAAACCTTAATTTTTAGGTAATTTCTTAAGCATTTGTTTAGAATTGTTCCTACTTAAATATATGACCTTGAAATTTGCTTAATTCTGTTCTTAAGCACAAATATTGAAATAACAAAAAACACGTCACCTTCGATTTGGCTAATTTTCATATATTTTATTGCCTACCATATTCTTAACAACCTGTGAAAAAATTAGAGTGGGCCATTCATAAGTTTTGAAGAAAATTGCACATATGCAAACGTATGTTAGCACGCGCAGTGGAGGGGGAAGAGCGAATTTCGCCCACCCCTCCTGTTTTTCACCAATATCTCATAAGATTAATGCGAAATTAATGATGGCTACCTGTCAAGAATTGAATTGGACATCTCATCGTGCAAGCAATAAGAAAATCGGTTAACAACTGTTCTAGTAATAGCGGTGTAAAGTGAACATCCTGTCGCCGCAGCGACGCGGCGACTCGGCAGCCGGCGCCGACCGCTACGCGCCGCCTGAATTGTAGACTGTGCCGGGACGGAACGGAACGGTTCCGTCTTTACATCGCGCTCCCTACCGCTGATTACGTTCGATTCGCGTCAAATTTTGTGAGAAGACTAAGAAATGTACAGGCAATCGTATGGTGAAAGAATTTTGAAAATCAGTTGGTAAACAATTGAAATATGAACGTGTAAACACAAATTTGTGATTGCTGCGTTTCCCGCATCGGCGGAGCCCGCCTCAGCCGGCGACATGTTACTCTTAGCAGGCCTCTAACTGCCATTTTTATTATTGGATTAACTAGAAATTCTCCATACATACTAAAAAATGTATGTTCTTTCGTATAATGAAGATCAAAAGACGTGAAGATTTCGTTGCGTGATAATGTTTTCGTTGAATTTACTTCATGATGCATTTCCACACGGCTCAAAATTCACCGCAAAATACCGTTTGCCTGAGACACTTTTACTATGGAACGTGAATGCTTGACTACGATGACTATGCATTTCCATTCTCGCAGAGTTTCGGATATCACTAATCAGCAATCATTCATTTCAGAAAGTGTACACAAGCAAGCATGTCTTGACTCTGTCTTTCAAGGTCACGCGCGGTTGCGTGATGTTGATGCATGAAAACGGCGTTTGCCGCGAAAGTTATGAATGGCCCACTCCAATTTTTTCACAGATGGTTAAGAACATTGTGACGGACATAATATGTAAAAATTACCCAAATCGAAGGTGACGTGTTTTTTGCTATTTAAATTTTTCTGTTTTAATTCAAGGTCAAATGCATTTCAAGGTCACTTCAATTTAATTTTACAATTAAAAATCAAAGCCTTATCAATTGCCTATAAGACCCTGTTAATATCATTTTGATACCAGAAAAGGAACCAGAGTTATAGCCATTTAAAAAATTGATGTGTGGCATTTTTCGCTATATTCGATGACCTATATCTCAGCGATACGTTATCAAATTTCGAAAATATTATACGTAACTCAGTTTTGAACCATGCCCAGTCTGCCTACAAATTTTCAGAAAAATCGAAGGGGATGACGGATTTCGGTGTTTGATTTGACGTGGAATGCCCCAATAATAAATACCTGTACCTTGCACTAAAAAGTGATAAGAGAAAGGACGACGGTCGACGATCCTAGCACAGCTGGTCAAAGAGACTCGAACGCCGTATCTGTAACCATTGCTAATCCAGCTCGCTCACCACCAACAGTACGAGTACATTTGCACTGTTTGGGAGCTAAGAGCCCTTTCATAGTGTAACCGTTGGAATTAGGCACACCAGATTACTTAAAAATATAAAGCAAATGTAAAAGCATAAAGACAAGATCCTTCAATTCATTGTGATGTCTGGCTAAGGCTCTAGAGTTTACCGTTTACCGGCAGTTCATCGTTTCATCAAGAACGTCATCGATGAAAGAGGGCATTACTATAACGACAAAGAATTCACCACAATGCTTGTTCTCACCTCCAGAGTTCCATGTCGCAGCGTTAAGTCTAACGGCACCCGTTTATGACCTCCCCGGCTACAGCGATTTCTTGGTGCCTGTAGCAGCAGTGTTTTAGCACTGCTATCGCTACCAAAAGATAGTGTTTATACACTGCACCGATAGATCGACACCCCTCCAACACCGACACCGACACCGACTGCAGCGCGCGACTGGAGCACGTGCTGCTGCGAGCGGCGTGCACCGTCTGGCCGTCGAACGTCCGCGCGGCGCCAGCCCCAGCTGACCTTTGAGAGCCTCTCGGCGTCGCCGCCGCCGGTGCCCCGGGCGTCACAGTACGCGCCTGCTCCGTTCGGCTGGCCGTTTGATCCGAGGAATGTGGCTAGCAGGGTATTGGAACTCACATAGTCGCGAGCGTGAGATTGGTAATACCTGGAACGTAGACTGTGCCGCCTCACAGATGTGTAATGCGGGACAGTCTACCGATTCGGGACGATGCAGGCCGACTGGCTGCATCCTCCTGGCCATGTGTGACGCATCTCAACGAATGGTTCATTGGATCTCTCCGCCGGTAAGGCAGGGCGAACACTGGTTTCTGCTTTCGGAATTTGCATGCTTTGAATTCATGTGTAAAACTATATGTTTATCATCTTGACCTTCAAGCCTTCAACGATCTGGCATATCGATGCACATAAAAAACCCTCGTTTCTGTTGTTTGCTCTCTGGGGGAAAGCGTCCGAGAAAATGAATAACAAAGTCCCCATGCGTTTATTAGTGCTGCAGTGTCCCGACTGAACTGGCTGCATCCGAATCCGGTGCAATCATTTTAGCATTCGGAATGTGCGTTAACTCTAAATTCGTTTTATATAATCCTATAGCAGTCAAGGCATAGACTCAAAATGTATCCAAATTTAGCCAGGCCAAGGAGACCGGAAAGGAAATGACATCACTCCCGAGTCCCGACTCGAGGGACTCGAGGAGCAAATGTTCACTTTTCCGACGTCGTGGTCTGACACAATGCAGCCACATTGGGGAAGTATCATGGGACGGGTCACTGTGGCCGGTCGAGAGGGTATGATGTAAAAAGCTTAAAAGTCATGCAAGCAATGAAAACGTCAAAATTTGCTTGAAATTGCTTAAAATTGAACTTGTGTACATTTCAGATCCAAAACATTAGGCATAGAGCCTTGGGATCGAGCATAGGTGGGCGCGAGCCGGGAGGTCCGGTTCATGAGCCGAACACCAAGCAGACGGTGACAGAACTCGAATACTAGACCCTTCAGAAGGTCCTGGGCACCGTGTCTGCACTGTTCAAATTCCAGCTCCAGCGGAACACTGGATCTCGGCAGGTCGGTTCGCCGGCGGGCGTGGTCCGAAACAATCACCCACTTTACAGCCATGTTGACAGGCGCGGTCGGAGCCAGTGATGCCGCTACCACGCAACGTCGGCGCCCCGCCGAGGGCAGCGCGGCTATATAGCCATCCGCGTGCCTCGCGTGATCCACCTTCCCCAACACGAGGATATGTATAAGGCGTGCTTCATAAAACGCTGCTGATTTCCCGCACTTTGTTACGACGGAGCTGGCTGTATGGATCGGTGTAATTGATGATACTGCCACAATGTAGTCTTGTTAGACCGGCTTTACAATTATGTGACCAAGTGCTCACCATTATTCATTTTGGACCCACCTACGCAAAGTTTGATTGCAAGCTTGAACGACGTACGTTATCAACAAATAACGCATGGCATTGTTTAGTCGATCTCCTGCTTTCTCATTCTTTTTTTAGGCTGCATCATAGACCTTTGCATACAGAGTTTGCTGAACAGGGCTTTGATTTCGCAGTAAATTCGAGGCGTTAAAAAGTCAACCTGTGAATAGAAGCAAAGCGTACCATATCATTAAGCCTTGGTGATGTCAAAACCATTGATTGAAAAGGCTTTCTCCGGCCTATACACTCTGCGCCGATGCATTTTCTTAGCATCGTGTCCGAGTGCCAATATCTGATAGCTGCAAGGTGGTCATCTAAAATTCACAATGAATGGCTCATGAAAATTAAATGTCCGCAAAAATATCAAGTAAAATGATTCAGAGTCGCTAGCGAGCCCCTTTTTTGGTAACATTGACATGAGACGCAAAAAAAGTTTAATGCTATTGATTTAGCAAGGCAATGTTCTCGACTTTGGCGAGTGGCCGGTCGCAGCTTTGGGCCAGTATCGATGGAACATGTGGTGGCGGTACCGACCGCCGCGCCGTCTGCGACCATTTACTGCAGCCTGGCAGTCTCGTCAGATGTCGCTGACGCTGCAAACGCCCTCCAGCACCTCAACAACCATATGCCGTCGTTGTGCATTGTGTTACGTGTAACTAACCCAAGTACAATTGAATACACTCCACTATACGGCAACGATGAATTTGCAGGGTCCTTCGTCTGTTGGCACCTCATATTTCGCTTTGGTCTGCCTCAGGGCAGTGTTCTTGCACCACTCCTCATTTATGTTACGCGACAGACACCACTAACGGCAGCCCTTAAAAAGGAAATAGTTCACTTTCACGAAATTATTTTTTTTTTTGCAACGATTTATTATTTTTTATGTTCAAAATAATCAGCAAAGAAAATAAAACCTTTTTATAACAAAAGATTTTTTTCTATATTTTGATATAGGAAGAACTTTTCAGTTTCTGTAAGGCACACGCGATCCAGTATGAAAAGAGCATGGGTCCCGAAAATTCTTCAGAAACAGAGAAATTATCGCAGCCACCGGCATTTGGGCGATCTGCTCGATCTGATAATGTTCCCCTGAATGTCCTAATTGATCAGTACGAGAATTTCTCTAGAGTTCTCGTAGATAATTTCTCTAGTTTCTGAAAAATTTTCGGGACCCATGCTCTTTTCATACTGGATGGAAATATATGCAAGGCACACATCCTCAACGCAAGACACCTTTTTCGGGACGAGAAATAGAATATCTTTGCCTAGGGTGATCGTTGGGCTGTAAAAGCTCCTGATTTATGCTCGTCTCAGCCCAAGCTACGGAACTGCTATTCCAGTTCAAAACCCATGTTAAAAAGTGAAGTATTTCCTTTAAGCAGATTTCTTACTCTTGCAGGGCCACCGTTCCGTGCTTCTATAATCTATCCTCAGGATACTGAAATCCTTCTCCTCCACGCCTCAACCCCCCTCCGGGCTGGACAGGCAACTTTATCTCATGCGGGCTGCTCCCTTGGAGCGGCACCGCTGCTCCCGAGGGAGCGCACCCCGTAGCAGGGTGCAGTGAGTACCTTGGGGCTGGGTGGCCTGTCCTCTGGACGGGCTCAGCCCCGGCGACTCACTAGGGTGCCTGCCCAGACCAATGTCTCCCCCTTTATCCTATCATCCTCCCGGCTCTGAAATGGTCTTGCCAGACCGAAAGGGCCTAACCCAACAAAACAAACAAAAATCTTGCAGGGCCCGTGTAGGTATGGATGCGAATGACAGGAGACGCTGTGTATTGTGTGTAGTGAGGTGTGGTGTTTAGATCAACAAGCGGTCTTTTGAATCAGATAGAGCCCTTTCTTAACCCGCGCCGGGCCGGGGGGTGTTTGAACACCCCCCTGCGGTTTTCGCAGATATCTCAAAAATGGCAGCGCGGAGCGCCACCATTTTTGGCTCACCTGTTGGTGCATCATTTCCGCACATGTGAAAATTTCAGACCCAGGTCGCCTTAGGTCAGATCACCAGGTCACGCCAAGTGACCTCACCTCAGAAAAAATAAGAATGCTCGTCATAGCTACACCGACTGATCGATTGCCTTGAAACGTTCAGCGATTGATAAAAGCAACATTATCTATAAAATGTTAATCTCGGAATTTTGATATCGGTGACCTAAGGTCAGGTCAATTTTGCGGCCTCTCCATTATAAGTCAATGGGAGAAAATTGAAAAGCGTCTGTTTTGCACGAACGCTATTCTAGACACTCTCAACCATCGAGATGTAGGTAAAATTGACACACTGAACCGGGAAATGGCAACTGTGACCCCTCGTTATGTCCCCGAGGTCATCTCAGGTCACGAACAGAATCTAGCAGTTTTTCGCTAATAACTTCTGATAGATGCGTGCTAGAGCGATAAAAACGACTTAGTGTTCGGCTCGACGTTGTGGGTCAAATTATAGTTCATTCGACGCGTCTCGACGAGAGGAACACGATGCTGGCAAAAGTAATGTCATGGTTATGTCTTTTTTGAGTCAAAGGTTATTGCCGAAAATGCTTTGCGTAAAAACGGCTATTTTTGGAGTTTTTGCCCCCTGGAGGCTAAACCGTTGACCCGAGGTCAAATTTGAGAACATTATTCAGAAAGGTCTGTAAAAGGGCTATCGAATGCGCTTTTCCGCGGCGCTGTAGCTCTATCGGTTCCCGAGATAGCCGTCTGCAGTTTCCAAAATGTTGAAATAGTCAACCTTTGGTGACCTCTGGTGACCTGACCTTTGACCTGACCAAAAAAATAACCGAAGTGTTTTCGTCCTTATTTTTGACGTTCTTTCGATTGCCGGTTGCCGCGTGTCGCTACGTAGCCCAGGAGCCGAGTTAGAAGGGGGGTGTTCAGACACCCCCTCCGGCCCGGCGTAGAATCTCGGGGCACCGGCCCGGCGCGGGTTAAATAAAGAAGTCAATTTATGTTGAGTTCTTGCATATTGGTTACCTCCACTGCGCGTGTCACGTGCAAAATGAAAAGGTGTCAAATTTTCAGCAATTACAACTCTGCAATCACTGGCCCGATCACGCTAAAGCTTGGTTTGGATGAAAGCGCTCATCATGGCCATGTGCCTTGGTTTGGGTGATATTGCGCAGAGGCTACTTCCAGATCTCGAAAACGACTAGACCGATGGAGCTTTCAAACTTGGGTACATACACCATGGGACCAGCCACACTGCAGTGCACACGTCAGTTTGGATGTCCTTCGCACTTCTGCACGTGCAGGGCTTACCCTCGCGCTCGCTCGCGTGTCGCTCCAAAGTCCAAAATGCGTCTTACTGGTCTTAACCTGTCTTATGCCCGTCTCAACTCTCAAGGTTAAAATTTCATGAATGCTTCGAGTGTAACCTTTCAATCGCCGTCATGCAGTTATCGTTGCAATGCTTAGTTTCGGATACATGAAAGTATTAAACGCCCCCCCCCTCCCCCAATCAATTACGTTCGGGTGTAAATTCAGCCAAGCGCAAGTTAAAGGGGCATGGGGCATGGGGCATGATCCATGTCTTTGCCGCCACTGCAGTGTGAATGCTGCTTGCGACCTTCCCTGAATAT